TGGATTGGTAAGTTCACTGGCTAACTGCACGAGAAAGCCAGACAAAGATTAACTGTATAAAGAAGGGAGTTTTTTTGTAATGCAAATTTTCCATTTGAACATTTTTGAATGGATTTTGATTAGATTACTGTTGCAATATTTGCGACACACGCTTGCAAAAAGCATGCAATTATTATGACTGCATGTGACTATTATAATTACTGCATCTCAAACTCATATGTTTATGCATCCGAACCCAATCAAAATGTACACTTTAAACACAAATTTGCATTTTGAAAGACATACATTTTACTCCAGCCTACATAGCCAACATAGTTCATATCATCTCTTTATTCTCACAAGGACACTACACCGAAAACAGATTAGCCTCAAGCCCATGTCTGCCTATGATAATTGGGCAAGTTAAGAGATAAAATAACCTCATCAAACTAAAGCAGTATCTTATCTCTGATCAACGTAAAGCTTCCATTGAAATTAGCAGAAGTCATCAAGTATTTCAAACATATACAAGACAATCGGGCCTATATTGTTCAGCTCTAGTGTACACATTTGTGTAGTTCTTCAATCACATGAAAGTCAGTGAACGGTTCAAACTTTGCTGTGACCTTGTGTGAGAAATGAACTTTACCTCCAGTGCACACGGCGCTATGGGAGGAATGTGTGAGGGTCTCCAAGGGGTTCCCAGGGTCACTATGGCTACAGAGCTCTACATCATTGCAGACTTGTGTTACACGACCAGAAATGTGTCGCGAAACTGAGGGATTGCAGGTTTGGAAAGGCTCTTGCACAAGATGATAGTAAAGCCCTTTTCAAGTACGTTTTGTGATGACTGGCAGTTTAATTGTTGTAAGCTATGCAGTAGACCCAAATAACTAATCCATGGTGTCCCACTTTTTGGATTCCATTCTATTTGGTCTCCTAACTCATGGTAAATATAGCATGTACTTAGACACTGGATTGTTGAGGGATGACGTATTTATGAAAGTGATAATCACTTCAGGCTTGACATTTACAAGGCATGAGATGTCATTGTTTACTGTAGTTGTGCGAATATGGAAGTGTGAATTGATTTGTATGCATTTAGATATAATCTGGATTATAATTCTCTGCCATATTTATTACTTACTTATTTAACAGTTGCAGCCTATATATATATATAGCAATCCTATATTTGGAAAATTGCAAAGTCTTGGTTGTGAGCAGAGGGTAAGAACTCCACCTGCTGGCACAATGAAGGGTAATGGAGATCCGCTCTCGCTCACTTGAAAGTCCACAGAAAAATGACAGTAATGGGGCAAATCACAATTCGACATAGATGTATCTAACTCTAGTTTGGACTGAAATGTTGAGAAGAATGGCATTAAATCTGTACGCTTACATTGGAAACAAATGACTTCACCAGGCTGAGTTTTAGGGAATAAGTGCAGATTAGAGAGTCTGCCCATTGTAAGAATGTTTTGACAGAAGAAACAACTACACATTTATTAAAAGGATATATGATTACATGAGTACATTCCATTTCTAGCCATCACCATGGTAGCAAGTGACGAAACCATCCTGAGAGGTTGCAAAGTGCACCACAATCAGAATTACTGACATTTTATTTTGACTTGAGCAAATTTGTCTTGAAGTACTGCTTTCTGATTTTCCCTGCGTTTAAACAAAAATAAAAACCAATTCTGAAATTGCAATCACAATGCTTTGCACATATGAATAAGAGTTGTATGCAATGTGTATTAGGGTTATATTTAGAATCTGAAAGACCTTTAAGAAATGATTTGAAAAGAAAAATATGCAGAATTTGGGCATTATTCGGAGTGGTGGGTGTGAGCCTGCTGTTACGAAATATGGAGGACAAAAAGTAAGTTAGAAGAAAAAAGTACATGCCACTCCAAAATCAATAAACAAGGTGGAGAATATTTTGAATGTAGCGCTCCGATTGGAAATCCAGTCAAGGAATGTTTCTCTGTACTTGGGTGGCATTTGATGAGAAAACGAAGGCAGCGTGCCAGGGTACTTAGTCCATCCAATATGCGTTGAAAGAGAAGGGTTAATGAGGTTTAATTCCTCTGTTATTCACTCCCTATACCTCCGGAGCTGCCTATTCAGCAAAACAATGGAGAGGTGACTTTAAGGCAGCAGCATTTAACTGCAGTAGAAGGACGAAAAGCGCACATTAGACGTTATTCTCTGTGTGACTGAACGTTCAAAGTCAGCTGCAGAATAAAGTAGAGGTACTCAAGCATTAAATGGCATAGAAACGGGATTTTTAAAAGTGCACCATTGAACCTAACCGATTGGGGACAGAAAAAAGGAATGTTGCAGCATTTTGTCAAAAAAACACAGAAAGACACAATAAAAACGTTTAGAATTATTACAACTATATCAGCGTGTACGCAGTTAATCGATCACTCTCAGCTAATTGGTTATTGAAATACTAATTTAGAAATTGATTAATATATGTTTTTCCTTTTCATAGACTTAAAGGTGGTGAGAGGTTGTATGACTTAGATGATTTTATAATGACTGCAGAATTAAATTAACATTCACAAAGTATCAAACAACCCAATGTGAAACAAGTCACCTCTTGACTAAAGACTTATCAACCAACTAATTAATTATCTAAATAATTGTTCAACTCCAACACTATGGCAAGGCAAGTTTATTTGTATCGCACAATTCATACACAAGGCAATTCAAAGTGCTGAACAAAATAAAAAAAGTATTAAAATCATAAATAATCACAGAACATTAAAAAGAAAGATTAAAATATAAAATCCCTCAGTTGTATGCACAGCTAAACAGAACCGTATAAGACTTAGAGGAGGAAAGAATTATGAAGAATGCAAACATTTGTGGGAGGCAAGTTCACTGTGTAAGCGTGCATGAAACGTTGAAGTCTGTTGCATTCTAGACATGTCAGCTTGTGCACCTTCTGTAGAGGTCAGCTTTCTCACATCGGCAAAGCACTGAACACATCACTGGTACAGAATAAAAATAGAAGGCTTTTTAGTGTCTTCACATTTCATTTTTTTATGTCTCTGGATGTTGTGAGCTTTTCCTGTAAATTCTCTTCACAATAATGCAGGTTGTAATAGTCTAAAATAGTGTTTCCCGACCGTATTTACCTTTTCCAATATAGAAATCACGAGGCACACTAAGATCCATAGTTGTTAAAAAAATCAAACTCTGGATGTAAAGCTTAGGTTGAAACAATGTGAGGTAGATGTGTCAAGCTCAGGCTCATGGGTAAGACCATTTTCAGAGGTCCCTGAAAGATTTTCAATTGTTATTATTAACTTGCAGCATTGATGGTGTATGTGTTACCATGGCATATAATACACTGTCTATTTTCTCAGGAATGCAAAAAAAAATACATGTATTCTTAAATATTAACCCAATATCACTAGAATTATAGTTAGATATAAAACAATGTGTTTAACTTTATATAATATACACTATGTTTTCCAATTAATAAACCGCGAAAAAATAGTGAAACTCGGGTCACATTGAAGTCCTGTTTGATTATGATTATATAATTTAAAAATATATGTTTAATTCTTATATTTCATTCATTGCAAAAAATTTGAGACACCCCTAACATTTTACTTTCCAGGCTTTCAGTGGGTCTGAAAGTGTAATCGGGGTGTCCAACCCCCTAAATCCTCCAAAGACCAGACCAAGCTGAGCCTCATCATCTGGAGATTGGTCCCATGGGCGTTGAAGGGGAATTGGAAAGATGGATCAAATGTGGAGCACAAATTTCCTACCGGGGTAATGCAGTTTAAAGTAAGTAAGTAAGCTTTATTTATGTACTGTAGAACATTACACCGACCAAGGTCCCCCAAAGCGCTTTACAATGTTCAGAGTTCAGATATTGTTCCATTCTCTCCACAGCCTTACCCTTAGTACCCTTAGTTTCTACACACTGTCAAATGTGATGTTTCAGGGTCAGGGTATTCTTGTGGATGTTTTTAATTATTCCAAGTGAATAAAATAGTGAGGGTGCCATCATGTGATAAAACATAAAACTTTATACAAGATAAGGTGATGTATACCTTTGGAATTACTTTTTTGGGTGACACACCAAACTTTATGGCATATAAAATCCTGAGTGATGCTGCTTTGCATATAGATGAGTCTAGTGTTGACATAACCTAAATTATACCATGGCTGTTGCTGACTTCCAAACTATGAATAGTATCTCCATAACACACTGTGACGCCACACAAGTCTCAACATGTTTGTTTACTCTCATCTCCATGTCACTGGTGTCAGTTATGGAGGAAGTTCTCTTTCAAGTTCTGTGGAGAAGTGTCAGGTCCCAGTGTACGACAACTGTCCATGTGTTGAATTACATGTGACATACTTGAGATGCTGATTTATTACAATAATTGGTTTTCTGTGTTCAAAATAAAAAAGGTGATTAACAAAGTGGGGCTGTGTTTTATATGTTGTCTGAATGGAAAAGGTATATCAAAGACCCTTATTTTCTTTAAAGGGTCAGAAAATAACGTTTTTCTTTTTGTCTAAACAAGATTTTGCAGCGGGATGGCCATCAGGCATGACATCTTTGCTTTCATCGAAGATAATCCTAAAATGTTTTCATCAAATACAATGATGTCTAGAAAAGTGATGACATTGAGCTGAAGGACAGCTTCAAGTACCTGGGTGTTCACATTAACAATAAACTGGACTGGTCCCATAACACCAACGCCCAGTACAAGAAGGGCCAAAGTTGCCTCTTCCTTCTGAGAAGGCACCTCCCACCCACTGCACAGGACTGTAGAGGAGCTGAGGAGCTCCTTCAGTGGAAGACTGAGGCACCCTCAGTGCAAGAAGGAGCGCTACCGCAGGGCCTTTATCCCCACTGCTGTCAGACTGTACAATAAGTCACTAGTAACCTGCAATAGGACTGAAGAACCAGCACTGCTATTTCCACTTTTTTTGTACATAATATGTCCTGCACAGCCTATATTTAACCTTTTGCTGAAGTAACTTTACACTTTCTTCTTCACTCTCTCACTCTGGCTGTTCAGCCTGAAAAAGGGCCAGGAGGTATAGGGTGTGGTAAGATATGATTTTTATTTAGAACTACAGAATACGATAAACGTTAACCAAACATTAATATTCTTTTTTCAGATTGTTACTTTGAGGTTATTTTATTGTGGAATACTATGCAAGAAACTATGACTTGTGGATCAATAAAGTCTGTCTAAGAAGTCTAAGGGGGAGATGCAATATACTAATCTGATTTTATTGTGTACCGTTGATTATTATTATTGTTGTATTTTATTTCATTGTTGTATAGGATTTTAAGGGAAAACATGTGAACACTAAAATGTATCTCATTTTTAAGAATGCACATTTTTGACCATCATCTGTCGTGACACAAGATTTGATGAAGTCCCTCCTCTTTCATTTGTAATCAATCAAGTGGTGTGCCGGGAAGTGAGCAGTAAAAAAATGTTCTAATTTGCTCTCTCTCTTTCTAGATAAAAAATAAAAACAAATGGGTAAAACAATCAGTCTCGAGATGTGCAAATTAAAACAAACTGTGCGTATCTCCTCCAACACCCAAGACACCTATGATCTCCTAATGCACCCACCTCCCCCATTTCTAGTCGGCATTTTTAATCAGGTTTTGAAAATCACTTTGAATTACTATGTACAAAAAGCGTGCAATCCAATATCCTTGCTTGCATCCAGCTGCACATGGCATCTGTACTTGTATTGTATTTGATTTTGATCTGCTTGTTAAGCCTATTAGCCTCATCCGCTTGAGGTGTGTTGCACTGCTGTCGTTACCTGCCACACACGTCAGCCTTCACACAAACGTTCGCCTGTATATGACAGATGTGATCCAGCCGCAGAACCAGGCACGTGTAGGTCACACCCAGAGGGGGCAGGCTCCCGCGGTGTTGGCTGCCGGTTATTAGCGCATTTACACCTGCTTGCGCCACATCTTTTTCGTCCATCAATGCAGAGAGCCGGCTTTTGAACACGCAACAAAGAGATCAAAGCCGCGCACAAGTACCCCCTCAGACCCACTGACATCAAACCCATTACCTAACCCATTTTAAATATTCAGTCGACACATGTTACACATTACGGCGACTGGATGTGCTCCAGGTGTGGGAAGCCAGCAGTCAGACTGGAGAAGAGCTGGTTTGGAAGGGAGGATGAATATCAATGTGGGTGATTTACATTCTGTTGACATGCATGCAAATGGTTAATTCATTTCTATCTAATGCTTAGAATATTTTAAAAGAAGCTGTTTCCTTTTTTTTAGGCTGACACTTTCTACATTGATGGTGCAGCCGCTAAAACCCCAGAGGTTACAAAAAGGCTATGCTTTGGAGAAGAAGAAACTTTTTCCCTACATTGAGAGGAACCAGATAAGGTGGCTAAGGCATCCCTGAAGAGGTGTTCCTGGTAGGTCCTACCAGGAGGAGGCCTTGGGAAAGACCCGGGACAGGCTGGAAGAACTGAGCTGGTTTTAATTTCCCTCAGATGAGTGGGAGTAAGTGTGCGTGGAAAAGAAATTCTGGGCGTCCCTGGTTTGACTGCTTACCCTGCCACCCAGCAACGAATGACACAGAAGAAAACGGATGGGTGGAGGATAGCCAAGCCTATACTCCAGTTAATATATGTTTATGCAACATATATTGACTGAAATTACTCATTACTTACAGATTTTTTTATTATACTTTTATTTCATCATTGCAATGAGAATTCGTGATGAAATTAACCGTTAAAGATAGTTTGTGTTGATGTTCCTGTGGATCAAAAAAACTTCAGGCTCGTTTTCACAACCACCTGTAGGCCCTGACTTTTCAATGTTTGTCAATTCTTAGAAATAAATGCATGATGCATGTCACATCCGGCCGCTTTGGCTTGAAGGAGGAAAAGTCATCTAAAAAGGCATTGTTATTGTGACATTTATTATGACTCCTCAAAAAGGGCACTGATCAGCACTGCAGCTAAACAGTCAGCAATAAGGTCAGCTTGCTGGTTTCTCATGGATATTTTAAATGTTCAAATAAATGTTTTACTATATAGGAAGACTTGTCCCATTTTCTTCCAAATATCCCAACCACGATCTACGTTGTGAGCAGGTGTATCAATTACAAAGCTCCAGACCAAAACACATAAATGGACGTTTTTCTCTGCGCACATGCCGCACTACAAATATTCCCAGCTTTATGTTGGCACTTTTCACGATTGGAGATGATTAGCAGGACACGTCCCGGAGGAAGCTAAGCCCACATAAAACACTTTTCACCCGCGGCACACAGCTCTACAGGGAGGCATCAGTCAGAGCGAATGAGAGGCGAGCCAGCATGTGATCTGCCTGCCTGCGAGGAATAGATTTGGAACATTTGGATCAGAGGAGGCTGCTGGGTGGAGTCAGGCATGCGAACACTGTCACCGCTTGAATTAGCTCAGACAAGTGTACCTCCACAGCAGAGGAGACCGGTGCAGTGCAGATGCAGAGGATTCATTGGGGATTTGATGACATGCAAATGTAATGGTGCAGTCGACTCGCGGCGTAAAGTTTCTTGCAACTGCGGTGAGAGAAATGAATCTTTATGGGTATATATCGTTAAAGTCATCCTTTTACAGCATGGCAATAACAATGTACATTTGAACAATGATGATTGAATGTATTGAAATCTTTATGAGAAGTAATGTGAGGACTAATCCTGCGGTTTATCAATATACACATTTTCATGGTTTAATACATGATTTGAGTCACGTCTTGCACTTTGAGACTGTTTATCAGTTACTACAGTAGACTTATAGGTTTTTTGTAGCGGACGCGATAAGACACAAACTGCTCAATGATTGGTTTATGGATGTGCTTTTAATAATTGGTCAATCCTGAGTAATTTCAAGGAAGGATTTGGTGAAATCTGAACATTGTTTTGGACACTCAAAGACTTTACACTGTGTTATTAATTTCCTCTGTGCATGCTAAGAGTCAAATTCAATTTGATGTATTATTGGATAGCCCTAAATCACAATAGTAGTTATCTCTACTGAGGACCAAACCGTAGAATTCCCCAACACAAATCAGAGAAGCAAACACTTCAAACACAAGAAATAGAACAGAAAACACATTGGCATTGGTCCATAAGGGTTGAATGTTGAGTGTCCTTAATCATCACCATAGTAAATGTAGCAGCATCTGCCCTAACACACTGTAATAAGTGAATCAGACCAAACTTTGATGTAAAATATTTTAAGTAATTACTATATACTTCATTTTCCACTATTCTATATTTTTGGTTGACAAATAAGTACTGTATAATATTATCATAGCGCCCTGTACAATACTGATTTTATTGCTTTAAGTGAAAATACTTTAAATATTTCTTCTATAAGCCTGGTGGGCCATTAATGACAAAACAATTATATTGTGTTGATTGAAAACAAAATGTGGCGAAGCAGTGATGCTACCCAGAATGCATTGCAGAGCAAAATATAAACTTCTTAAAAATTCTACATTTGACCATTCATTTTAAGAATGAATATGAAGCAAGTCCTAAAGCAAAATACTTGAGCAACATTTTGAATAAACTAAGTTGATCAAATAAGTCATTGTATTTATTTTTACCAACCGTGATCAACAGGGTCAAGCCAAAGCATGCCTTTACTCCCTGGGTTCAAATCAGACATCAGATACTACAAAATGGTCATGATGCTTGCTTACAAACAAGTCCTAAATGGGTTGCAAGCACATTTACTCCCCCGCATGAGAGTTACAGAGTTCAAAAGCACACAATGTAATGATTACAAAAACTAACATACTTTCTCCAGGTGGAAGAAAGTTTCATTTTGAATGAATACAAAAATATTGAGTATATTGATCATCTCCAAGTTAGTTTTGCTTTGAAAAGACACACCCATTTTAAGTAAATCCATCACTTCAAAGTAATAGTTTTGCTTTCTGTCAAATTGAATTTAATATTCTTTATTACTTAATAAAGCGCTAAAGTTGATAGTACTCAAAATGGCCGATGGATTTCTCCATCTGTGTGAGATAATAAAGGATTGATTGATTGATTGAACCCCTTACAGAATTGTTTTTGTTTCTGATTAAAGCAACACTTTTTACAGTGCATAAGCAAAGCTGCCAATCTACCTGCCTAAGAGCATGACAGTTCTGATAATGAGAGGGTAATAGAAAAAATTCCGGTGTGGATAATTAAGTCTTTGTAGTTTATTTCAATTATTGTATTATCTTCCAATAGGGACTTTTTTTACATGACATATCCGGCCTGACTCCAGAACTGCTTTCTTCTCACTGCCAAATTTCCCCTAATGGAACAAACCATTGGAGTCCTGTCCTTGCAGTGAGGCCAAGCATGTCCACACATACCCACCCGGCGTGCAAGTTCCAAGGGAGGGCTACAGCTCCAACATGGGCAAAGCAAGCACTCGTCTGCGGCCAGCCGGTCAGAGCCAGGGCACCCATCCAGTCTCTCCAAACTACTCACCCAAAACGGAGCTGCCAGACACACTCCTTTTGTGGATTCAGAGTCTTTCATTTAGTCGATTTTGGTTTCTGTACCACTAATAATAGGCTTGGCTTTTAAATTAACCTGGTGCAATAGAACGGAATATTGCATTGATTAATAAAATAGGCTTGATGTAGCAGAAAAGTAGCAGGCAATGCATTTGTAATGAGCCCTTTTGGTATCACGTGCAAGCCACTCTCGTTGAAACAAAAATGAAAATACCAGCCTTGAGGAAAAAAGCATAAAAACACATTACTCTGGTGGATCTTTGCGACATCCATTATACGTTCCGCTTCTTGTCATTTTTTAAAGTTATCCTCGGGCCATCAGTGGAGACGGTAATAAAGATGTGACCTTTACATGGAAATGAGCTGTGGTAAAGAATGGTTTGTGGCTTTTTCTAGAATGCGGCAGAAGGGAGCATGGGCACACTGTGTTTATGGAAAAATCACAAGCCAAAGGTACACGTAACTGAGACAAAATTGTCATTATCAAGATAATGTTAGACATTATTGCAAAGGCTAGAGACAGTACAATTGGGGAAAATGGTAAATATCAGATTTGTCATGCATGTCATGTTAGTGTTTCTTTCAGGTTAAAGCATGAATCCCTTTAAATGCATGGCTTACAGATGCACCTGGTTTGGGTGAACAGAGTGAATACATTATAATTTGGCCTTTAAGCCAGTATGTTTACATGGATATTAGAAAAAAAACAAGATACATACCTGTGCAAACTTGGGCAGTTTATAAATCACCAAACGATGTAATCAACAGTGCGCAGATCTTCTTATAAAAGAAAATATCACATGTACCTGGGTTTGCCACAACCTAATTTAAAACTGCAATTCCTTGGGCAGGTGATCAGAGAAAAATATATTTGGCCTTAAATGTTCACTCCTAGAAGAAAAAAATGTATTCCTTACCAATAAGCTAGATCCCAACAACACATAGTGGGCCTCATTTATGAAACTTGAGTACGCCCAAATCAGCGTGTAAATGAGGCGTACGCAAAAAAATTACACTTTTTGGCATTTATCAATCTGGACGTGAGCGTACGGTACGCACAAAATCTACACCAAGTCAAAAGGTGGAGTAAATGTGTACTCATTTCAACCTTTCCCATCGCACCTTTTGGAGTTTTTCTGTGATATTACGGACTCATACGCATCCTTTATCTCTCACAGAGATCGCTCCATTGCATTCACAAGATGTCGCTGACGCTTGACCCAGATCAGAGTCACCGCTGAGATATTATTATTCATTCATTCATTTATTTATTTATTCATTTCTAAAGAGATGAGCGCTGCAGTGGGTCTGACCCAGTCGGGGTGGGTCCCGGCTCAAAAGTGGCCAAAATGACGTGTGCTGACATGCTGCAATACCACCCCGGGCCGATGGGGGTGGACCCGGAATAAGAATTAGCCAATGCTAACATATAGCAATGGCAAACCT